CCCATAGGCATGGGAAGGCCATTATTGCAGTCCGAGAAATAACAGACTGCACCTTGGGCATAGGGAGGGCCAAAACTAAGAGGAAGAGGCTAAAAAAGGGCCTTAACGGCCACTTGACACTTGGCATGCTAGAAAAAAGAGAGAATAGAAAAGAAAATGGGGGAGAATAAGACAAAAAGAGTGAGAGGGAGTGAGTGAGTTGGCCGTCAGTAGGGACTGGCAGGTCCCTACTGTCCAAGAAAGGAGGAGAAAAGAAAAGAAAAGAAAAGAAAAGAAAAGAGAAAAAAACCTTAAGGGTAAAAAACAACGGGACCAACGGCGGGACAAAGAAATGGAGCTAGCATGTAGGAAAATGGCGGGGACTTGGGATGTCCCAAGGGAATCATGAGCAAACACAAGGAATAATTGTGCAAGCAAGCGGCACCGTCGAGATTGAGGATCTAGACGATGAAAAATATCAGCACCACTAGTGCAAACACTAGTGGGAACAAGTGAGAGAGCCATGAGAGAAAGAAAAGTGAAATAAGGATGTTGGGAAGGTTGCCCAAGAGTTCGGGATATCTCGGACTAGCAAGGCATAAGAAAATAGAGCCTTGAGAGGCTCAACATGAGAAAAAGGCTGCCCTTAGAAAATCGGAGCAAAAGGGGCTCAAAATTGGGCAAACGGGAGCAAAATGGAGCGCCCTAGGAGCATGGGGGTGCCATTATTGGAATCCGAGGTGTAACGGAACCTAGACTGGAATGAGGCCCTAGGGCCTAGAAAGAGGGTGCACAGCAGTTTGACACTTGTCACAACAGAAATAAAAGAAAAAGTAAAAAAATGAGAGAAAAAAGAGGGAGAATGAGACAAAAAGGAAAAAAATAGTGGAGGAGAGTGTGTCGGCCTATTGGGACCTGCACAGTAGGGACTGACAGGTCCCAACAGTGACCTCATCCTTCCTAGAATGAGGGAGGGCAATCCGGATTGCAGAGATATGGTCCTTAGGGCCATATCTCAATAAAATCTGAATTAAAACACTGAAAATGGGGGAAAATGCAAAAAGGAAGTTGTCGGTTTTCTTTTGGGCCATGGATCTGAGATCAGATCTCATGGTAGAGAGGAACTAGCCGTTTTTTGTGGGCCAGCTCAAAACGGCTAGCTCCGGAATGAGGTGGCAGCCCAAAATGGAAAGAAACAAAAGAGGGAAAATGACAAAACAGTGCATTTGGCTCAAAAAGAGAGCCAGATGCACCAAAAATTGAAAACCTGGATTTGGGGGCTCAAAATTGAAGCAAGGGCTACTAGGGGATAGCTCGGATTATTGTTGGCCTTGGATCTCAGCCAGATCCAAGGCTGAAAATGTACCGCTATATGGAAAAATGCTCCGGCCTACTCAAAAGAGGCCGAAACTTGAAAAAATATCTTTCAAGTATTGCTGCCCCTTGGGCATTTGGACCCTAGGGGGCAGCATTTGAGCAATGAAAAAGAGGCCGGGGTAGGCCAAGAGGCAGTCCGAGTTGGTACCAACCACTTGGACTGCATGCACTTGGCCAAAATGAGGCCCCATGTACCTCCAGAAGGGCCTTGTGAGGGAATTTTGCCTTGGGGGTACCTCGGTTCACCTCAAGGCTCATGGGGAGGCTCATGGGCTGGATGGACTGCTGGTTTCAGCCTACATAAGCTGAGGATGCAGTCCGCCACTCTCACATTTGCATCAGGAGTGCCCATGCTGCCCAAGTGAGTTCACAAAAGCACCTTTGCACTTGGAGTGAGAGGGGAGGAGCCCATGCTAGTGGGAGAGCTTAGATGAGACTAGGAGGTAGTGGGGAGGACTCTGAGGATAGTGATGGTGGGAGAGACACTTGGGGGGTGATCCGCCATATCCCTCCTGGGTGTAGGAGAAAAGGAGAAGCTAGAGGAGCCCCATTAGCCCTCCTAGAGGGGAGGACTCCATAGCCATAGTTGGGAGAAAGCAAGGGAGGAGGAGAGAAGGGCTTGGAGAAGAAGGAAGTCATAGCCAAGAGGGAATTGTGCAGGTAAGTGGTGGCTAGAAATGCCTTGAGCGGGATAGGGGCGAGAGGGACTGGGCACCGAGAGGGAAAGGGAAGAGGGACAAAGGGGCTATGAGATCCTTGACATAGAGACAAACCATGGGAATGACTTTTGCGCTTGAGGACTTAGAATGGAAATGAGAGTGTAATCATACCAAGGAAATTGTGATGTTATGTGTGCATGCATATGAGGACCCCGAAAGGACTAAGGGGCCTACTTCAATGAGGAAAACAGCAAATTGTGAGACCGATGGATGCGTAGAGGCGAGGGGGAGGACGGCTCCGCCACACCCCGATGACGCCAATAGTCACATTGCTTAGGGAAATGGTGCGTGGCCTAAGGATGACGCTTAGCCTACGCACAAGAGAAGAGAAACACTCAAAGAATCCTTGGACTGACTGGGTATTGGAAGGAGCAATTGCTTGAGAACACCCCAAAGAATAAAAAAATCAGCATTGCGGAACGACCAGCGAGACTACCACTCGGCGTGAGGGCTGAGCTATATCCCCAATGTCAAAGCTCTCTCGCGCGATGGCCCGCCCCTATCCATCTCAAAGCACTAGGTGGGGGTGACCTTGGGACGAATGGCCCGCGCCCTGAGCATGAGTGTGGGCGGGCCGAGCCAACTGGGACCCGCAGTGGGGTCGACTAAGGCTCGAAAGTCTACCGGGGTTTGGCCCTACAAAAATGGTGGAGGTGCCGGTTATGGGGTTAAATTGACCCTTGCAATTCCGAGGGGGGCGCCCGAAGCATTGACGTGTACACAACCCAAGATAAGGAAAATGGACTTGTGTTTGCTCTTTCCCTTGTGAGAAATCAGATTTGAGAGTGGCTGGGCGCATGGCATGGCCAGACCTGGAGGTATAACATGCATGCTATGCACTTGATCAGCCTTTCCTTTGAGGAATGGCTCTAGCCCTCCTTCGTCCGGTGCTGGTGTTCGCCAGTCCGGGGAAGCCTTGGGCACGTCGCAGGTCGACCCTTTCTCTTTGTATGAAAGAAGAGTTCCGGTTACCTGGCAGGCGGTTGGTGCTTGGCTTAGGCCAGGTTCCAATGAAAATCCCATGGAGGAGTGATCTGACCAAATAGGTGTTTTCCCCTTCTTCTTTGARCCCAGCGGGCTCATGCACTTTGCACTCTTTTTTTTAATGATTGAAGGAACCAATATGAACACAACGGGTCATAAAGAAAGAACAATCTTACCCTATGAAAGGACARACAAGTGAAGAGAAAGGAAATGAAGGGAGTTGCTAAACTCCAAGGAAAACTAGCTCACCCTTTAAGATTCTCACGAGAAGAAACCAACCACTATGTATGAAAGTAGGGGGAGTGACACTCATGGTCCTGAGAGAAAATCTGTGAGTTATGGGTAGGAAGCGCTGGGTGCATCAAGGGAATGACACTTGTACTATGTGTGTCCCACTTGGGACTTGTGTTTGCATGATGAGATTCGAGCGTCCTGCCTTTCGGAAGGAAAGGATTGGTCTGCACCGGCCAGTGCGGGTTGCGAAATGTCGTTCTCTTTTGTAGGCTGCCGTGTGTTCGTATGTTGAGGTCAGGCCACCGAGCTGTCGGACGGGAGTTGTCACGTCAGTTGATTAGTAGCATTCTCGTTTGAGCAGTGACGGGCTTCGGCTCGATGATCCGTTGGACGGGGTGTGAAATCTCCTCAGGCGAGGCTTAGCCTGTTGGCTGGCGGAGGGAGTATCACTGCATGCGGACAAAGACGGAGCCTCGGAGGCGATTAGTAGTCTCTCGTAGCATGGTTTTGGGAAAGGCTGATTCTTGTCGGACCGATGGAAGTGAATGCCCGGACGGCTGACTTTGTCCCTGTATTTAGGCACTCGAGGTAACCCTCGGTGTCGGTATGGATGTGCAAAGCGGCAAGACGGGATGGGGTATTCTGGGTAAGGAGGAAAGGGCGAATGCCTTGCCGAGACCTGGGTACCGCGCTCGCTATGGTTGAGCTTCACTTGAGGTATGGGATAAAACTCTACCGATAGTACCAGCGGAGAGACCATATTGGGGATGGTCGGAGGAGATGATCGGCCCGTATGTGAGGTTGCCTGATTTTTTTGTGTTCCCCCTCTGTAAAATTTGATTGAGCTTGGACTGTTGGACGGGACATATCTCTAAGTCTATCCCCTCCCCCATCTAAGTGCGCACGAGTGAGAGATGATCGAAAGGAAGGAGGATAGAGGTCAATTGGAATGGAACCAAGAGAAAGAATGTGGGCAAATGGATGGCCGGCCGAGAGAATTATGGGAAGGAGGTACTTAGGATTGGGGGAGGTAAAATAGGGAGACGTTGATGAGGGGTCTGAAATAATTCTCATCTAGGACAAGGGTTGACCTGACCAAAAGGATCGGTTGGTGCCTTTTTATGAAAGCAGGGGTCGGGTGCTGAAAACAAGATGGCGCGATGGTTGCCTTCCCCGATCTATACTAGCGGCCCGGAAATGCCAGTAGATGTAAAGGATGGGGTATCGGTCGTCCTCCCGGAAAATGGAACGTGGACGGACCTTAAACCAACGTATCAAACGGTAATGCTGGAAGGAGAGGATGCTTTCCTTTGGATAGAAACAATATGGACTAATGTCAGCCTGACGAGGTTGTCGCCAAGCTTAATGGATTTGGAATTCCGAGGGACAGTGGAAGCCCGGGGGTGGGTCTACTTGTTGCAAGATGGGGAGAAAGCTATGATCATAGAACTAGCATTCGGGAATACACCGGACGATTTGTTTAGGAAGGCAGAAGCAGAGGTTGTGTGGGCTGCATGTCAATGGAGGGAAATGAAAATGGAAAAGGTAGACGTACGGATGGAACTTGGGGATAGAGGAAGCATGAGGCGACCCGTAAGAACCATGCGATGTGTGCTGCCCTCCTTCCTAGTGGATGCGGTTTTCGGAACCCGGAGCAGGCTAGTACGGATATGCCAGTCCATGACGAACCTCGGGCTATACCAATGCGCTAGGCAAGATTTTTTTCGGTTATCAGTAGAGATGGGGCCGTTCGAGGGGAACTGGGCGGAGGAGCTGGTCGAGATACTAAACTGCCTTAGCATAGACAATATCTTTGTCCCTAGCGCTGTGCATTGGGGGATAGTCTACAGGAATGTGGCAATAGGGGAAACGTTTCTAGATGGGGTAAGGGAGTTGGTATACGACGAGGAGGACGACTTCAGTGATGAAGACGAAGATGAAGAGATAGAGGACTGTGACTTCTGAGAGGGGTGGGGTAACTTGGGAAGGACGGGTGGCCTGGTATTGTGCAGGAAAGGGAAAGTTGCCTAGAGAAGAAAGGATAATGGAATACGCCTTCAAAGGTTGGGAGCCACGGCGACTCAGAGGAGGAATATAAATGCCTATACCAACAGGAAACAGATGGAGAGGGACCACGTGCGACTGGATTGGGTTTGAGGTTGCCTGGGACTTATCATATGTATGGATAGAGCGGATTTGGAACCCGATAAGGGAAGAGGAAGGTTGGGATGATATAGCAGAAGGCAAGGTAGAGTCAGTCGGAACGATTGTCCTTTCCGAGGATGGATGACACCTGTTTTGCACTATGTTAGCAATGGGACAGGACCCGATGTGGCTTCTAGGGGATGCAGAGGCCTGAACCCGAAAAGAAGGCAAGTGGTTCGCTTACGAGGGGTGGGACGAAGTTAGTAGCAGAGTTGTGATGGGAGGATGGAAGGAACTTAAGCCTCCAAGCCTACGGATAACGGCTTGGGTACCAGAGTTCATAGCCGAGTGGTTTGGAGGGTTTGAACACATTTTGGAAGTAGCCGACTCCATGAGAAAGGTGCATATAGAATGTGTCTGGCTGACTGAGGAGTTCTATAGGCTCTCATTGAAATATGGACCCTTCTACGGAGATAAAGCCGAGGAAGTCATCATCGTCCTAAGAATAGGCAGGTATGACCGTCTAGAGGTAGAGGAGGAGTCTTGGGACGCCATAGTTAGCCGGGAGGCGGTGGCCGCACCCTCCTACGTAGACGATGTCTTTAAACTATTTGAGGTGTTGTGGTTCGACTAAACAAGAACGAGGGATCGATCACCACGAAAAGGCCTGAGTGTGGAGGGTGATTGTGAATCGAGGTGTAACATAAGAAAGGGGGTGTGTACATTAGGCCGTAGATGGTGCATAAGGATCGAAACAAGGAGGAAGTGGCAGCAACCGGAAAAAGGGGGCAGGGGTAGAATTGTATGTGTATGAGTCGTGAATAGTGGCAAGAACCAGTGTACGATAAGTAGGGAGGGTTGAAAGACTAAAACGCGAAAGGCATGAAATCTCGGTGGGTGCAGCAATCGGGCTAAGAAAGCAGGAAAGGAGACATTGCGAGATGGTCCGGCGAATGACGTTCTGGGAGGATAGACCTCGTGGGATCCTGCTACCAAGAATATTAGAAGGCAGGGTCGAAATAAGCCTGCCGGCAAGAAATACGATAGGCAATCCGGTAATGGACTGGGTGGGGGTAGAGTTGGTGGAAGATACGGTGTACCTAGTAGTGGAGCTGGAATGGCGTGCGAGGGGGGGATTCGGGGGCGTAGACTTGAACCTCCCAGGGCGTGTACATGCGACGGGATCCTTACACCTGTCGGAAGAGGGATGGTGGACCTTTGGGATTGCTTTGGCTTCCGGGGATGACCCCGCGCGAATGTTCGAAGGGGCATGGCAAATAACCTGGCGGGAGGGGTTTGAGTTTGCAGACCCGGAACGAGATGACGTAACGGCGGAGGTAAAAGTCGCCGCGGCGGGCGTTTTCAAGCTGCCAAATGAGATCATATGGATGAGTCAACCATCCTTCCTGCTAAGACAAATGGGAGGCGTAGAATGAGTGGAGCAGGCGGTGACTGTCGTAACTAGGCTAAATTTTGACGAAGCACTAATGTATCGATAATACTACCGGGTCTTTCTAGAGATGGGGCCTTTCGGGGACGAACAAGGGCGCGAGGTGCTTTGCATTCTACGAGCAGCGGTAAATACTAGGCCAGGAGTCCCACAAATAAGTGATGAGACCATGTGGAGGGTCATCCGGCGAGAGGTAGGTCGGGGCGCGACCTACATAGATGATCTCTACCGGCTATACGAACAGCAAGAGGAGGTTACTGCTCCCGGGGGTATAGAGGGATAGTTGGGACTAGAAAAAAGAAATGAAAACACGAAGGGCAAGGGAGACAGAAGGTGGGCGGATTCTGAAGATTGGATGTAACCCTTTCTATGTGGACTATGCAGGAAATCACCAAGGTAACAATGGCAGCAAGACGTGAGCGAGTGGAACGCCAGCCCCGTGTGCGAATGGAACGCCAGCCCCGGTACCCCGGACCGCCCTGGAACAACGGTGGACGATGGGAAGTATCCCTCCCGTCGAGTTCTACCTATCGGGGGTTCGACGTAGAATGGCGGGCCGTGACTTTGGGAAGGGACGACGCCTTCATGTCGGTAAAATGTCGGTGGACAGGGATGAGACTCAACCGAGGACCCGGAGACGATCTGTTTTCCAATCTGGAAGTTACCGGAACCATGTATCTGCCTGAGATCGGCTGACACTCGTTGGGGGTAGAGATAGTACAAGGTCACGAGCTGGCACCGGTCTTTCGGAGGGTCGCCCGGACGTTGACCCGGATAGGACATTCGGTCAGGGGAAGGAGGAACGTGGGCTTGCGAACCCGGGTGGAGATGGGAGGTTGGAGGGAGTTCAGGGCACCGACCACACCGCTGAGATGTCGAGTACCCCTTTTTATGATAGACCTCGTCTTCGGAAGCCTCGCAAGGGCGCGGGAGCTGGCAGACTCAGCAATAGTCTGCGCAGGCCACTTTCCCTCCCCTACCATTGGGATGTTCTACGATGTCGCTGTGGAGCATGGGCCGTTCTGGGGAAACAGGGCCCACGAATTACTAGAAGTCATCCACATCCTGATGTTTTGTACGCCCCGGCTAGACTGGACAGGGTGCGAACACATAATCCAAAGGGAAATCGAGATAGGGGAGAATTATCTAACGGGGGTGGCTCAACTATTCGAGGAGCCTACCGAGCCAGAAGAGTCGCGAGGGCGAGAGCAGGATTAGCATCCGCAGGCGGGTCAATAGGGCAGATCGAGTATAGTTCGCTGCGTACGGAAGTTCGTCGATGGGAATAAGAAAGGGGCCTCGGACCTGGATGGCTTAAACCCACTAGAAAAACAAAGAAGGGGGGGGCAGACTCCTAATAATTGACCATAACCCTGAAGGTCAAAAACGGGAAAGGCTTCCTCTAGCAGGATGCCTAACCCGGACTCCCTCGCGTCGGTCGACGGGACAAGGGCACTACAAACGAGCTTGTGATAAAGGAAGCCCAGTCACGTTCATAGCTCGGCTGGGCGGCAGGGCCAATCGTGGCTCCTCCTTAAGGAAGGGCAATCAGGGAACGGGGATAGGAAAGGAGGCTATAAAGATAAGCCAACAGAGCTGGGAGCCTAGGGAACCTAAATACCTCGCATTGCGTGTGTCCTGGGAATTCTTTGGCTTATGCAGAACTAGGCAAAATGGCAGCGGAGGAGGAGACAGATCACCGTAAGAGTGAAGGAGAACCAGGCTTAGGAGGCAGTGCCGCACAAAGCGAAGGGGGGCAGAAGGACAGAGAATCGATAAATCCGGATGGTACCAAAGGGAACCAGAAGGAAATCTCCACAGGAGAAAGCTTGGGGAAAGCCGGGGGAAGCAGGCAAGGCACCCAGGGGACCAAGGAAGGCAGAACTAAGGATAGGACAAACCCCCGAAACTCTGAAGGAGCCATGCCTAAGAAAGTGAGGGTCACGGACACGAGGCGCAAATTGGCCGAGATAGACAAGAGGACCGCGGAATACAAGGCAAGATTGATTGAGGAAATGATGACTGGGAACGAAGAAGGTCCTCTGCAGGAGGAATTCCGGGACGAACGGAAAGCCAGCCAAGGTGGAACTGGACAAGGGGATAAAGGTAGTGACCGTGGGGGAACGCCGAGCAAGAGAAGGAAAGAGAGAGAGAACTCTCCGGGGATGGAAGCAGAAAAGGCTACAACTCCGCCAGCCATGGATAGTAGGGCTAGCCGCCTGCCGATCACGCCAGCAATAGCACGAGGATGCGAAGGACTTTGGAGCCTTAAGGAAAGAGTGTTGGGATGGTTTGACCCGGAAGGAACTATGAAAACCAGGGAGGGACAGAAGGCCGACAATGAAAGTCCGGATAACAGTATGGCAAGCGAGGCCAGCACCTCCGAGGGCGGCCTTAAGAAGATAGTGTCGTCCCTCGCGCGAGCGCTAAACAAAAATCAAGGCTATCTGGCGGACGCCAAGAAAAAGTTGACTTTCAATGAAGCAAACATCACGGAGTTTCTAATTGACAACGAGAACCTAGCTGCGTTACTAAAGTGGACCAAGGAGGAAAAGATGGACCATCTAGGACAGCATGTGTCGTTAAGCCTAGAACGGGACATAATGGTCATTGTAGCCGCAAGCCGGTCTTGGAAGGAGACCCGGGATGTGATGATGAGGAAGTACCTAGCTGCAGAGAAAATGGTAACGGAGGCCGACCTAGCGGCAGTTCAGAGGAAGAACTTCGCAACATACAATGATTTCCTACGGGAATTTACTCTAGTAGCACTAAGGATCCCCGGGGTCATGGACCGGATAATGAGCCAATATTTCCTTAGGCAGTTCTCCGAGTTCGACAAAGACAAGATCCTGTCAGCTTACCAACAGACGAGCAAGTTCGTAAATACGCGAGATGTTGATTTTAGCACGGTAACGGATATGGCTGAGAAAACGGTAGTAACAGAGACGTTGGCCTTGCTCAAGGAAGGAGAGATCATAGATCTGACCGGTAGGACGGGCGACAAGGTAAAGAAGGGGATTGAAAGTCTACATGAACGGGTGCACGGGGTCGACAATAAGATTGAAAGAATGGAAGGCGCGCTACTGGTTATGCAAGCGCAAGTATCCCGACCTGCCCTCCCTCCCCAAGAAGCTGTGTTCCCGCCAGGTGTAGCAAACCGGGGATTCGGACGGAGAGATCCTGCTAACGAGCAATGCAAGTACTGTACCGTGATAGGACATAATGTACGCGCCTGCCCAAAACTCAACCATGATATTCTAAAAAAAAGGTGTACCAGGTTATTAAAGGGGGAGATATTTGGACCACAAGGGGAACGGGTGAAATGGAACTCGCCAGGAGGGATGCGGCGAGCCATTATCATGCTCAACGGGTTAGAAATAACAGTCGTAGAAGCCAAACCGGTGGGCGCGATCATATGGGATCAGCTCCGGAAGCGCGGGCCGTAGGCCAACTTTATTTTGGAAAGCGACGGACGTGATAGGGTGAACGCAACCACTCGGGGAACGGCCGGGAGAAGGATTAACTGTGACACCATTATGGAGGAGGTCGCCGGAAGCTCCAAACCCCAGGCGGAGCCTGGGGCCGAGGAACCAGAGAAAGTCTATGGGAAGCCTAGGGAAGAGGAGCCTGCGGACAAGGTTACCGCCGGTAAGAAGAAGTTTAGGTATCGAATCCCGATCTTTACCTTGCCTGAGCTCGACGACACCATTAGCAAGTTACTAAGAACCATGGTGTCGGTGTCTTTTCAGACCATGCTGCAGGCTAGCCCTATGTTGCTCAAAGGGCTCAGACAACTGTTGACTCGGAGGCGAGAGTAATTTAATATTAGAACTTATAATTCCAATAATACATATAAGTATTACACTTGCTAAGACTTATTTGTTTATTTTTTTTGCTATTCTAGCACGATGGCCCCGAATTACCAGAAGGGGAGAGGGAGGAGGAACCTCCGCAGGAAGTGGCTAACCTTCAGAGGAGTCACGGGGACTTGGAGGATCTCGAAAAGGCCTTTGCAGACATTCGTTTGAGCTTGCTCGACCGAGAGGGCGGCGAAGTCATGAGATCGCCACCCGGGACGACGCTTAGCTTTCATGCGCTGCCCGTACGGAAACTGAAAATCCAGATCGGGAGTCATCATACCGACGCATTTGTAGACGGGGGAGCATAAATCACTCTCATAAGAAGAGATTTCGCAACGATCACATGATGTACGGTAAACAAGGAAGTAACAAAGAGCATCTGGGGAGCTGGCGGGAAATCCCGTTTGCTGGGTACATCACGAAGTGTGCTGTAAAGGCAGGGGTCAGGGAATCGATCTGGTCGTTTCAGCGGATGACCGTAATGGAGGAGATGGACCACGACATAATCCTCGGGAGACCGTGGTGCGCGAACGTGGAGATGATAGGCATGCACTTGCACGATGGCTCATACATGGTAGACATAGAGGACCCTGTGACCGGCCGGGGAGAGCTCCTCCGACTCCTTGGAACGGGAGGAGACCCCCCGAGGGGGAAATTGGCAACATGGTCGCCGTCGTTCGAGGA